ATATACAACGATCGATACGCAACTGGGAGACCGCCTGAACCTCAGTAATGCAAACTTCCCACCGAGCAACCTCTTCCGGAGTCATTTCATCGTCCTATTTGGCTTGTCTCCGACATATGTCCTGCTAAAGCAATTTAGCGGGTAACAAACTTGGAGAAACCAGTCCCAAAGGGTCGTAGAGAGAAGCAACATAGGTTAATAAACCTCTCCGGGTATATTTTCCCTCCCACGGTGTAGCATCAATGAGGAAGCTGTCGGAATACGGATCCCATTGTATCCCCAGAGTTCGTTTCAGCTCAACCGGTCGTCGATCAAGAAACACAATTTTACCTTCCGCTCTCGGCAGTCCTCCTAAAGCATGTGGTTCATTACTGAAAAATTTAGTCAAATTGAAACCACCCATCAGTAAAGCTTGTCTCAGTAGTCCTCCCATCTTCTCAACTTCCTCCGCAGAGGACAAGCTCATCAAACAGTCATCCGCATAGAAGCTTCTTTTTGCGAGGTTGATTATGGTAGTGTCATAGTTTTCCAAGTTACGTTCAAGAGTTGTTCTTAGCGCCAGACTACAGCATGAAGGCGATGAAGTCGCACCAAAGGATGTGAGGTCATTCGATACGTCTTTGGATTCTTCGTCAAGTCACCGTCGGGCCACCAGAGAAAGTGTAAGCAGTCACGGTCACTGACGGGCACCTTTACTTGGTGAAACATTGCTTTAATATCCGCGACAAGGGTGTATTTATACTCCCGGAACCTTAGGAGAACTCCACACAGGCTATTGACGAGGTCTGGACCTGCAAGCAGTTGCTTATTTGGTGAAGTATCACCGAACACCGCAGCGCAGTCAAAGACAACTCGCACCTTACCTCGGTCGCCATGCATGTAGACTCCGTGATGCGGTAGATACCAGACCGCTCCAACAGTTTTGATATACTCCCCTTCAGGTACTACCTCAGCATAGCCCATACTGACATAGTCATTTACAGTAGCGGTATACCTTTCTTCTGGCTTACCAGTCCGTTGCT